TTGTATTCCAGCTAACCCTTCAGGTGTTATTCTGTGCCAAGTTTTAATGGATTCTCTGAAATGCCTGTAGTTCTGTTTTACCTGCCCAGGTCTCTCCTGCCTCCCATGACTCTGTCTGTGTCACCCAGTGGGTGTTCCCTGGAGTGTGGGCCACATATGTGGTGATTTGAGAGATTCTTAGGCTGGCATCTGGATTTTTTTTTTACTTTAATAAATAGTTAAGCATATATTTTAATGTATATTAGAAAAATATGACTTGCACATCTTTCTTAAGATTTGATATAAGGCCTAGGATAAAACTGCTTTTAAAAAGTCTGTTGGCCAGGTGTGATGGTACATGCCTGTACTCCTACCACCTACAGTTAAAAGGCTGAGGCAGCAGGATTGTGAGTTCGAGGCCAGCCTGGGTTACAGAGCAATTGAGGTTAGCCTGAGTTGCATATGGAGAATTGTCTAAAAAAAAAAAATCAGTTGTAAAGAATGGTACTCTGGTATGTGAGTATGGCAACATTGGAAAGGTGGCATATGAACAACCGAGGCTCCAAAACTCTGCCTGAACCCCACTGGATCTGCCTAAAGCTTTTAGACAACAGCAAGGAGCCTGGAATATGGGGATCCACGATTCAGGAGAGGGGAGCAGCTAGAATTTGGTCTTCTTCCTCTGGCCCCTATCCTTTCTGCTTTGCATGTTGCTGAGGAAGTAACTGAGAGGCCTTCCCAGTGCAGCAGGGGAGCAGTAGCCCCCCAGCATTGGGAGCATTCGGGCTGGGGAGAGGAGAGAATCTGCATGTCCCTGCACTCTCAGCTCAGAGCAGGGCCAGCTGTCCTGCAGCTGAAGCTTGACTTGGACAGAAGCCCCCGGGCATGAGCACAACCCCCAGCCCAGTGGTATCTACCCTGAGCAGATTCCGCTGGTGCTCCTTGCACACTGGTGTGGCTCACAGGCTGAATTTTGCTGCCTACAGAGTCTTGAACTCTTGCTGCTTGGCCTATGGCTTTGAAGGACAGCCAGAGAGTCAGCCCTTCAGTCCTCATTGCTGTCTTGGAAGAAATCAAGGCCCCTGGAGAGATTGTTTCTTGGGTTGGCCTAGAACCAAACCTTTGGAGGCTTTGTTTAGCTCCTAAGCTCTGCAGAAGCCCAGCCCAGGGCTAGCCAAGGTTTATCTTTAGATGCTGCTATAATGACCTGATGTCTTTGATTTGGGGTCTCAAGCTGTCAAGCTGTCAGCCTAGCTGATTGCAGAAGATGCCAGGGGTGAATGAGCCCACCAGGGCTGTGTCTTGTACACTCTGTTTGGAGAGGGAGAGTACAGTGCCACCTGGAGGCAGCTGTCCTCCGCTGGGGACTGGCCTGCAGCATGGCAGAGGTTGTGGGGGCCTTGACTGCTTGAGAGAAATTGCCAGCAGATTCTGGACATAGGGACACCTGGAGATCTTGCTGGGACAGTTATGTGTCCTAGCACTTGGCATGCAGTGAAGGAATGAATGAACGTTGAGAGCCCTGGTGTTTTATAAGACCAGAATAGCCCCACAAGGACTGCAGAAATTGCTGTGAATGTTCACGTAGTTCTGAAACAAACATGTGAGATCTGGGAAAGGGGGTAAAAAAAGATGGAAGTCTCGGGTGGTAACCGAACCACAGTTAGTACAATGTTAGCAAAGTGTGCAGAGTTCATTTTCATATCATTAGACTGTCCAACTTCACCCCATCTCAGCCAAAACTACAGAGTGAATGTAGCCAGAGTGGGGACTCTGAGGTGGGGGTGACTGTTTATTGCCTTTTGAGGATGTGTCTCAAAATGAGTCTTCAGGATTGGAGTTTGAGGTGGGGGTTTTGTGGAAAGGGCTTGCTGAGATCAGTTATCACAGGGTCTGAGGAGTTTTGCTAGTGCCATGCTGGATTAAGGCTTCTTTGGCATCAAATCACCAGTTTCTCCCCTGGGTCCTAGTTCAAGCAGTTCTGCTGTTAGGCTCACAGTGTTCCCCAAGTGACCTCCCTAGAGGGTGCTTGCCAAGCCTTCGGTTAAATCTTCATTTGGCAGGGAATAAGTGAGGAGTGGGATACAGCAGGGAAGCAGTAGCCCCCAGCATGGGGGGCAAGCGTCTTGTCAGGTTTAGGAAATAGCAGACCCACAGTGGGTCTGACCTCAATGTGCCAGGCTCTGTTCGAGAGGATCTTGTACCTGAGTGTGCTCTGGACTAGATGCTGTTCATCTCCAAGCAGCTGGCAGTTTGCACTCTGTGTACCTCAGGGGGAAGATGGCAACACCTACTGGATTGTGAGAGTCCAGCCAGTTTAGCACAGTTCCTGGTATTTGTGAAACTTTTCTGTAAAGTTTGGGAGTCAGTATTGGCTTCCTGAAGCTGCTGAAACAAATTACCACTAACTTAGTTTAGTTTCTTGTGCAGAATTCTTTAAAGGCCTAGCACAGTTACATTGCTTCTGGAAGCTCTAAGGGAGTGAATCCCTTGCCTTGCCTTCTCTAGCTTCTAAAGCCCTCCTGTATTCCTTGTCTCTTGGTCTCATCCTCTGTCTTCAAAGCCAGCAGTATAGCACACCCACCTCCATTGTCACATTGCCTTTTCTCTGACCCTGACCCTGACTATCCTGCCTCACTCTTAAAGGACTTCTTCCAACTACATAGGGCCCACCTGGGTAATCTAGGAATCTCCCATGTCAAATCTAATCATATCTACTAAGTCCCTTTTATTATTTATGGTGACCTAATCACAGGTTTTAGGGATCAGGATGTGAATACCTCATTGTTCCCTCTACTCCAGGGACAAGATAACATTTCAGAGACTTTGGGGTAGCAGTCTCCAGACAGCTCTACCAGTTGGATTGGTGAAGGGAGACAAAGACTTAAGTCCCTCACCTGAGAAAAAGGTGGGAAGAGTGTGGCTTAGGGAACACCCTGGGTCAGGTGGTCCAGCTGGGGCTGAAAGAGTTCTCTTTCTTTTTTTTCGGTAGTGCTGGGGTTTGAACTCAGGAGCTAGGCAGGTGCTCTACCACTTAGGCCACTCTGACAGCCCCTTTTTGTGTTGGGTATTTTTGAGCTAGGGTCTCATGAACCATTTTCCCCGGGCTGGCTTTGAACCATGATCCTACTGATTTCTGCCTCCTGAGCAGCTAGGATTACAGGCACGAGCCATCAGCACCCAGTTCTAAAATTTCTGACACTTCATACACTCTCCTACCTCCCATTAAGGGTGTGCGTTCAATGCCCAGAAGCAATGTGCATGAGACAAAAGATTGTCCAAGGCTTGAAAAAGGAATGAGAGAGTGGGGAAATCATCAGTGGTAGAAGTGCAGAATTTGGTACTGGAGGACTTGGGGTAGAATTCCAGCTCTGCCACATTCTGGCCATGTGACCTGGGGCCATTTCTTACCTCTTTTTAAGTCTTACCTGTTTCCATTTGTATATAATGGGTAATTGTAATTTCCACTTTAGTAGGGTGTTTCTTGGAGCTAAATGTGAGTTTGCAAAGGACTGTCAAGCCCCAGAAGAAGGGTGTGACACGTGTTGTAAGGGTCTCACCAAGTCACTGGGCAGTAAAACATCAGGTATGAGGGTGCCTCTTCAGGCTCCAGTGGCCCAGAGAGACTTGAGGAGAAGGTGAGACTTAAGCTGTGCCTTTAAGGAGAGGAGGCATTTGGTCAAGAGCTGAGCCAGGGTGGGAGGGTATATGAGGCAGCAGCAGTAGCAAGAACCAAAGTTCAGAGGCCAGGTGGATACCCCTGGCATGTTGGGAAGGTGATTGCTTGGCCATGCAGGAGATTGGAAGGGCAGGGAGGGTACTGGGACCACTGGAGGTGTTCAGTGCTGCAGCCATATCAGTTTGAGGTCCTGATGTCTTTCTCTCCTACTAGATTATAAATCACATGAAAGCAGGGACTGTTGTCTACTTTTTTCCCATTGTACCTATCAGGCCTGGTGAGCATTCAGTAAATATTTGTTCATTGATAGGTCAATGAACAAATCACCCAATCCAATTTTGCAGTATTCTTATTAAGTCCTTGAACAAGTATCAGGTATAAGATGCCATACCCGGGAGACTGGTCTAGCTGCAGTGGGTGGATAGGAGGGAGGGTGGATAGGAGGGGTGGAACCTAAGGGAAGAATTGATAGAAGAGATCAGCAAGAAAGCTTCCAAATTGGCAGAAAGAAGGGAGAGAGATGGAGGAGAGGCCAAGAATGATTCTTGAGGCTCCTATGTGATGAGTTCCACATTTTTTTCACTCAAGAAAATTTTGGGGTGCTTTCTCTTGTGCTAGGCGCTGTACTGGTTGGTGGGCATTCATAGCTAAGCAGGGCACGATCCAGCACAGAAGAACAGGAATTCTGGGGGGACGGTGTCGTCTGTGCCTCACACCATGAGGAAATGCCAAGGGGATACGAGGCAAGCCCACGCAAGTAGGACCGTAGCTGACACCTTCTGCTGTGAGATTGTTCTCTAGGGACAGGATGATCTTGTCACAAATGGCCACAAGAACACAAGCCTGGGGCTTCCACACCCACATCCATCCCGTCAGTTTCTGTCAGTTTATACACCACTTCCTCTGGGGGCTGCATCTGTCCCCCAGATTTAGATTATGACCCTTGCTGTGCTGTCCATGTGACCATGCCCTACCTCAGTCTTGACTGATTTTCCTTCATAAGCGCTTTACCTCCCACTTCCCTGTTAAACTGTTCATCAGATATGAGGCCGGGCCTTAGTTATTCTGCTCACCATTATAAAGATAGATGGATGGATGGATGGATATCAGGTAAGGTAATATGGAAAAAAGGATGGGAGAGAAAGCAAAATGGTAACAGGAATGTGGGTGATTTCTTTTTCTTTTATAGTTTTTGTGTTTTCCATCTTTCCTGTAATAATATGTGGCTTTTATCCGTTTTGAAAGTGTTAGTTAAAAGATAGAATAAAGACAAGGAAGCAGGCCTCTTAGGATTTGGGCCCCATTCTCATGAGCTGCTGGTTTTTGGTTTGTTTTCCTGCAGGTGGAGGCAGGGAAGGGCCTGGAGATGAGGAAGTTGGTTCTGTCCGGCTTCCTGGCTAGTGAAGAGATCTACATCAATCAGCTGGAAGCCCTGTTGCTGGTGAGTATTTGCTTTGGGGCTTTTGGGTTCCCTATCAGGCAGTGTCACACTGTGCAACTGTTTTTGGAGTTGGAGAGGAAGGGGCCCTATATATGTCCTAATCTCAGATGGAGACTCGTACTGCTCTGCTGACAACTGGCCATTGGGCCACCTGTGCCTCTCAGCTCCGGCTCTGTATTATCCTCCTCTGGGAAAGGCAGGAGAACATGCACCGGTTAGGGAGGGGAAACATTCTGTCATCCTTGCCCGTGCCCATGGCATGGCATTGCTCTGTCCAAGTAGGCACCTTGCTGTCTTCTCTACATTGTGCTCTGGGTGTTTTCAACCAGTCAACCAAATTGAGACCTCCTTGTCTAAGTCCTTCCTTCTCTGGACAAATAGACTGTTACCACCACCCCGAAGGTCCTGTGCCAAGAAATGGGAGGTGGAAAGTGTCTGCTGTTTCAAGAAGTGTCATAGTTCTGAGGCATTGGAACAACCTGAGCCCTCAGTAAAGATGGCGGCATTGTTTGAGAATCAGATTGAGTGGGGACTATTAAAACGTTTCCCAAAGACGCAAGTACTACACAGATGTAAAGTTGTTTTGCCTTTGAAGAAAGTGCTTATTAGATGCATCTGGATGTTTTGCAGAATGATTGTGGCATGGAGAAGTGTTTCTTCTTCTGGGTGTTTTGCACTCTGAGGCATAAGATACATCAGGACAAGGGCAGGAAAACTCATTCTTGCCAACAAGTTATGCATTTATGATCTTGCCGTGAAGTATCCTAGGGGATGAACTTGACATTAATTACCCAAGGGACGACTATCAAAATGTGAAGATGCTTTGCAGTGCACTGGGATGTTTGTGTTAGGATCTCAGGGAGTTTATTGGTATGCATGGCAATGTTTTGTTTTCTTTTTTGATGTGATGGAATTTGAACTCAAGGCTTCGTGCTTGTAAAGCAGTTACCCTACTACTTGAGCCATGCTTCCTATGCACAGTAATTTTTTTTTTTTTCAAGTGAAGGGCAGTGTGGCAGGTAAGGGAGTCTGGTCTGGAGCCAGGACTAGGGCAGGACTTTTACAATGCCATCAATAGTAGGCGTGTTACACTGTTTTTCAGACTGTGTATATTGCCTCCTCAGTGAGTTGTGAAAGTGTCGTGAGTTGAGCTAGCATTTTTAAACAAATGAAAAAGAAAACACTGTTGTGCATCACACACAGTAAGGATTAAGTACTATTTTAGGAGACTTTTGGCTTGATGTGTGTATGTATCTGTGTATGGATATGTATGTCTGTACAGGACACGTTATTTCTTACATGTGTTGTGGGTTTAAAAACCATTGCCTTCCAGAGTAGTGGTTCATGCCTGTAATCCCAGCATGGGAGGCTGAGGCAAGAGGATTGAGTGTTTGAGGCCAGCCTGGGCAACACAGAGAAAAGGCAAGCTAGCTCCTTGTCTCAGTTTCCTTGTCTGAAGATGAAAATACACTCGTTCCCCCCTTATTTGTGGAAGATACGTTCCAAGACTCCCAGTGGATGTCTGAAACCCTGAACAGTACAGAATCCTAGATATGTTTTTTCCCTATGAGCATATTATAAATTAGGCACAGAAAGAGATTAACAATAATTAGGACTGAGGACTGGGTGAATGGCTTAAGGCCCCCGTACTGTATAAAAAAAAAGCACGAAAAAGGAGAAATGGAAACAATCCAGACTGTTGAATGAGCACAGGTGACTGAAGTTGCGGATGAGGAGTGATGATGGCCATAACCTGGCTTTCTCTCTCTCTCCCTTCCTGGGTTGAGAATAGCAGGTGACTGAGTTCTGTCCCCAGGACTGCAAAATAAATAAATAAAAAATAAAACGCACTGGTGATCCCTTGGTACCTAGTGCAGTGCTTGGTACAAGTATTGGCTGAAGGAAGAAGGCAGGCAGACTGCCACTTAGATGTAAGTGAAGTATACCTTATGAACTGGGGGTTACTGTACCCCCAAAAAAGGGGGACAGTTGTCATTACTAGCAGAATGCACATCTGAACGAAACCTACCTGGTTGGCTTTGAATCCCCACTTGACCACTTACTAGCTCTCAACCTTCAGCAAGTGAAGGAGACTTTCTACCTCATTTTTTCCATCTGCAAACTGGGTACACAAATAGCACTTTCCTCATGGGAGTGTTGCAAGGATTAAGTGAATTTTATATGTAAGTCTCTTAGAACAGAGCCTAAATGTTCCATGACACTGTTATACTTTCTCCATCGATGGTTGAGAAGACAGGTTAAGACTTCTTTGTTCCTGTGAACACACCCTTTCCCTGCATGAGGGGGGAGGGGCTGTCCTCATCAGAGCTGTCTTGCGGTCTTAGACTCCACCCTGCCTTCATTAAGCCTCCTCATTGGGCAGATAATAACTCCTCCCTGCCCTGCTTTTCTCAGCCTCAAAGGCACAACTGGGAAGCTGCCCCACCCCCCAACTTGTTCACCCTGGCCTCTGTTTGAAGCTAGAGGGCTCAGGAAGGAGCCACAGGGCCCTCCAGAGCCCCAGGCTTGGAGGATAAACCTCAGAGATAAGGAATCAGGCCCCTCCTCCTCCCTAGCTGGGAGGCCTCCCCTCTCTGAGAGCCAGGAGCTAAACTCTTGTCTCTCCTGGGTGGTCTGGCCCAGAGGAGAAACTGTCCCCTTGGGCCCTTACCCTTGTTCCTACCCTGTCCCCACAGCTCCCCTTATTACCCAAGGAATCAGTATGGAAATGTGAAAGTACATGGCAGTGCGAAGTTTTCCCCTCAAGACTTCCTGATATGCAAAGGACTGGGCGTATATTCCTAAACTGTACACACACAGGCAGACTGGGGCACCACACAGGAGCCTCTGTTGGGGGCCCAGGGATGCAGACCGGGGTCTGATTTGGTAATCTTCTGGAACCCTCCTGGGTCCTGGTGGGTTACTATTACAAGGGAGGTTGGGGTACGGTATGAAAGAAGAAAAAGAAAACTGAACGCATTATGATTCTGTATCTCCCAGACCATGGGCAGTGGCTTAGGTTCTGCATATTGCCTGGGCAGGAACCTTGGCGTATGGGGCTGTTGCTTACTGCACATATCACTTCTGGGCCATGATTGCCGAGGTAGTTCTCCTCTCTGAGACTCCCATTCTGTTAGTTTGCTCTGGAGTTCATAGTCCCCCTGCATCTCAGCTTCCTTGTCTATAAAATAGGTTAACACACCTCCTCCCTGGGCTCCTGTGAGCAGTGAGCAAGGTGATAGGTTAGCAAATGTGCTGGCAAGGCACCAGGCCTTCTGGGGTAGGAGGTGGAGGAAGTGGGCAGATTGCTTTCCACTATTTCGAAAGGCTACTTTCTGGGGGATAAAGCAGACATAGCTCTGTAAAGTCAGAGACAGGCCCTGTCTTTTTGAGAAGCACTCAGGCTGGGCACTAAGAGCCAGGGTTGAGGTCCCCTCAGGGTTCTCTCTAAGAATTCTCTCCATAAGATGGTGAACCAGGGTCCTGCCCCTGGCCTGTGCCACAGGTGCTGGGAGGAGGGAGGATAACTGGAAGGGTATCTCTGGCTTACAGTGCAGGCTCAAGGCTCAGTGAGGAGCTGGGCATGATGGGAGATGGAGGCAGGAGGATTGTGAGTTCAAGGCCAGCCTGGTCTACATAGTGCTAGGACCCTGCCTCAAAAAACCACACTGCTTTAGGGACAGGACAGCCCTTCCCCTCCCCCCACAGGTCATCAGGGGTAAGAGGAAGGGTCCCCAATCTTGTGTGAGAATGTCTCATGCCCACAGTGCAGGCCTTCCATGTGACTGGCCACTGCTGAGCATCCTTTTCTTCCCCTTTCGTGCAGAGTGGGAAGTTCAGGAGGAAGCAGAGCTGTTGGGCTGTCTGTGTAGGTGGCAGATGAGCGCCTGCTTCTCCAGCAGCTTCTGAGAAATCCTATCCTCTTTGTGTTCCCAGGACTGTCCCTTCCTCCTTCCTCCTTTGTCCTCTTTCCTTTATTCCCTCTACATTGAGGATTGCACCAAGACAGGGACAAGGATGAGTGGCACTGGGACTGTGACAACTTGGGCCCCACCTTTGGATCCTTCATAGAGGTGAAAATGATAAACTGTATCATACCTGAGGGCTACCTCTGCCTTCTTCCACCTGGGCATGGGAGAGTAGTATGTGCTTTCTCCTGGTGGTTCCTGCTGCTTCCCTGACTGTAGGTATACCCAACCCCCCACCTACTGAGATCTTCCCAGTCCCCAAGACCTCGTTCCCTCTACCTTCTCTGAGAAGCTTCCTGGACTGCTCTAGAGCAATCTTGAAACCATTTCTAGCCTGAGTTGGGTAGCTGTCGTATCTCATATTGTCCACCAAGTTGTTTTATCATTAACATTGGACCATTTTACTTGAATAGATTATTAAATTCTCAAGAGCAAGGGATCAAGGATCATAAAAATAATCTCCTGAATATTGGACCTCCATCACTTCCCTGCCTAAAGCCCTCCAGGGAAAGCTGGGTCATTACGTGATCAATTGCATGGTCAAAGTCATACTCTTTCCTCTGTGTGACCCCTCCCCAATGATCTATCCAGCCCTTCTCAGTCCCTCTCCTCCCCTCCCACCCCCCACTCACCTACCTCTTCAACTCCTGTTGCACACCAAGCCTATTCCTGTCTCTGGAACAGTGTGCAAGGAACTTTGCCTGGAGTGCCAATTCTCTAAGGCCCCCGTGACTCCATCTCAGGGTCAATGTCCCTTGCTTGGAGAAGCTGTCCTTCACCACCCAATCTCAGGAGGTCCTCTCCTTGTTTCCTTCATTGTACTTATTTCCTTCATTGCTGTGTGTAATTAGATATTTGATTATCTTCCTGTTTTCCCTCCTCTACTAATTAGGAAGCACCGTGGGAATAGGGATCGCGTGTGTGTGTGTGTGTGTGTGTGTGTGTGTGTGTGTATTGAAAACCACTTAGTATCCCGGGACTGGCCTCATATTGGGTGCTTGGTACATTATTTGCAAAGTAATACTGGTTGTCTTCCATGTGCCAGGCACATACTAGATACTTTAGTAAAATACGGCTTTTGATCTTCCGTCAGTTCTTCTGAAAAGGTAATACTATCCTTGTCTTATGAATGAGGCTGCTGGTGATGCTAAGCCCAAACGTGAGTGACCTGCCTATAACTATTAAGTAGCAGAGTTGGGACTCAAGCCCACTCTACTTGGCCCGCCCTAAGTTGAACCCTGTCCTATTTCCTAGCAAGGACTGGACACTGAGGGTCTGCTTTTCCCTGCCTTCATCATTGTATCTGGACTTTATAGAGCTTGGGGACTGAAGAGGACAGAAGTCTGAGCTTTGTCTGGATATTTGCATACAGGAGACTTCCTCTTGAGGACAGACTTAGGCTCGGCCCCATCAGAGGGAGGACCAGCTGAAGCTTGGCTGGGACTCTGGCTGCTATGGCTGGCTCCAGCTTAAACGGAGTCAAATATAGCCTTGGTCTCCTCCCACATAGGTGTTCCCACCAGTCCAGTGCTTTCAGCAAGTGAGTTGCCCATTCTCTGCTAGAATGCTTCTCTTGTCAGACAGACAGCTCACTATCTTCCCTTGTGAGACAGTGTGGGACAGCTCTAGTGAACCCAAACCTGAGCCCTAGCTTCTCCCCAGTGTTCTTGGGTCTGCAGAGAGGCCTAGACTAAGTCAAAGACCCCTTTCCATACTGCCTTCAGATGAAAGAACATCAGTTGTATCTGACTCAGGCCTTTCTCTTCCAGGTTGTCTCCATGTAGAAGGTTTTCAGACCCTGTTCCTGCAGCCTGGGTTGTGGCACAGACTGGGCATCTTGAGTATTTTTCTGATTACAAAATTAATATTTACTCATTGGAAGTGATTAATTCATTATTTACATTTATTTGTTTGTTTATTCATTTATTTGCGATTGGGGGGGTGTCTTACTATGTTGCCTGGACTGGTCTTGAATTCCTTGGTTCAAGTGAGGCTCTTGCCTCAGCCTCCTGAGTAGCTGGACTACAGGGGTGCACTACCACCCCAGCTTCATTATAGGTGATTTAGAAAATGTGGAGGACCTCACTGAAGAGAGTGTATCCAAGTGCCATTTTTTCCCAGGCCATGCTGGGTGGGGGTGGGTCCTAAGTTACCGTCTATTGCTGCCCTTCTTTGCTTGTAGATCCTGGTGCATCTTGGTGTGGCAGGGATGACAAATGGGTTTCATTTTCAGGTCAACTCAGGCAGGAGAAAGAGTGTGGGACCACAAACACACTCAGTGGGAAAGAGCATCACAGTTGCTTAGCAATGTGTGCCACAGGTGTGGAAAGTGGAAAAGTAGCATGTATATGCCTGCTCCTTTCCCTGTATCCAGTGCCAGGAACCTGAAATAATCAGGGAATCTGAGCTGGTTTTGAGTCTTTCAAGATTCTACCCTGAGTCCTTCTTTCCTTCTTAGAAGGAAGTAACTAAGTAGTTCGGTTCCCAGGCCACCCTCCTCCCTTCCATTGAAGTCTGACAAGGAAGCTTATGACTCAGGACCTGGGACCATTGTGGGAGAGAAGCATGGCTCCTGCTAAACTGACCAGTGGACTTATATAGGTGTGGGCCAGTTGCTGTGAGCTCAGGTAGGGGCAGGAAGTGTGTGGCTCTGGCTGTTGGGCCACAGTCCAGATATCAGGTTCCCTCTCTTTGTGTGCGGCACGTTGGGGCCTGTGACAGCAGCTCTGAGATAGAAACCACGTTTTGGGTGCCCTGCCTTCGGTGGCCTTGTCTAGGCAGGACTTGGATGTCATAAAGTGCTAATCAGTGTCACAATCTGTTGGGGCCTGCCAACACTCTGGTTTATTCACCCCCCACCTCTACTCTTCCTTCCTCTTCCTCTCCCAGCCCATGAAACCCCTGAAGGCCACAGCTACCACCTCCCAGCCTGTGCTCACCATCCAGCAGATTGAGACCATCTTCTACAAGATCCAAGACATCTATGAGATCCACAAGGAGTTCTATGATAACCTCTGCCCCAAGGTGCAGCAGTGGGACAGTCAGGTCACCATGGGCCACCTCTTCCAGAAGCTGGTGAGTCTCCCACGAGAGTGTGTCCTCCTTCAGGGCCTCCATGGAACTCTCTTCCATGGTGTTGGAAGAGGGTCTCAGGAGAGGACTGGTGAGTCTTGCCTTTTGGGCCACCTAGGAGGTCAAGGTCAACTGTGAGTCCTGGAGGCTGGACTGGGCCTGTGCTTTACAGAGTAACTGGGCTCAGAGCCTTGACCCCAAGCCTGCACTGGTGAAGCCTGGGATTGTTTCCAGGAATGTGGGGGATGGGCAGTATATGTCTGCTTCTGGGAGGGCACTGCCTCTGTCTTCATAGGGGCCTCTTGAGCCAGCACTTGAATAGAGCTTCCCATACTTAGATTTGGGTCCCTTGTCCCTCTATGGACACAGAGGCATATGCCAGGCTGAGGGACAAGGTCTGCTCACTTGAGACCTTGGGTATTTACTATATCCCAGTGCTGCCTCTGTAAAAATGGGGCAGTTAGGGGCAGTTAGATGGAGACTATCAGCTAATGGCTGTCTCCTGACGTCCCCAGAGCAGAGAGCTCTGAGAGACAGCCCCACCTGCCCCAGCAGGGAGGGGAAGGATACAGTAGACTTAGTGTTGGGAGATGCTCACAGAATCCTCCAGTTCCCAGGGCTTCCATCACTCCCTCTCCCTTAGCTCTACTTGTCTGTCCCCTGGAGGATCCCCAGGTCATACCCTCAGAGCCCCCCACCATAACTCCTGACAGTATGGCCAGTGAGAAGGGGACTTGGGAGTTAGTGGCTGTCTTCTTGTTCCCTAGATGGGAATGACTGGGGCAGGGGAGAGCAAAGCCTCTGCTTTTGCTCCTTGCCCTAAGACTTGTGGAAGGGACAGGGCTCTGTTTCTCACCGTGGAGAAGACACTTACCTGGACACTGCTAGGCCCTCAAGCTCAGCATGTTCAAAGCCAGACTCACTGTCTCTGATGTTCTTCTCCCTGACCTTATCTCAGTGCCTGTCTGATTCATCCTTAGCACCTCCCTCTCCTCTCCTTGTTCCTTTATCCTCACATCCCATGGAGTGCTCTTATTTGACGTCCTCACAGTCACCTACTTCTCTCCATCCCTCTTGACCCCCCTTGATCTTCTCCTGTACTCTTCTGTGGCCTCATGAGGTGGCCCCTGTCACCAGGCCTGCGCCCCCTCCCACTGCCCTCTTGGCTAACAGTAGGAGAGAATCACCAAAACCCCTGCCCATTCCTTGCTTCTCCCGTTTCTATCTGACCAGGACTTCCCTTTGCCTACTGGCTAAAGGCAATCTCCAGGATGGCTACAAGACCATTTGGTGCTGGCCTCTGCCCACTCCTAACCTCTAGTTGCTGCTTCCTCTACTCCCTGTGCCCCTAGCACAGTACTTTCTGTTCTCAGTTCACTTTCTGACCATTGCATACTTGTAGCTCCATCTGCCTGATATGTCTTTCCCCATCTGCCTGGCTTCTATTGATCAGTTTCTGTCTTAGAAGTGACCTTCTCAGAGAACCTTTCTCAGCCCCTGTGTTTGTCCTTCATGAACACTTTCAACTGCCTATCTCCCCAAAACTATAAGCTCCAAGAGGACAGACTATAATTTCTTATCATTAAAACTCCAGAAGCAGCCCAGTAGTCAATACATGAATGAATGAATGTGTCATGACCATGATGTAAAACTTTTTTTTTTTTAGTGGAACTCTGCTTCATGCTTGCAAAGCAGGTGCTCTACTGCTTGAGCCACACCTCCAAGCCATTTTGCTCTGGTTATTTTGGAGATGGGGGTCTTGTGAACTATTTGTCTGGGCTGGCCTTGAACCACAATGCTCCTGATCTCAGCCTCCTAGGTAGATAGGATTACAGATGTAAGCCACCGGTGCCTGGCTGCTCTGGTTATTTTGGAGGTGGGGTCTTTTGAAGTATTTGACCTTGAACCATGATCCTCCTGATCTCAGCCTCCCATGTAGCTAGGATTACAGATAAGAGCCACTGGTGCCTGGCAGAGAGCCCTATTTTTTAAGACCAGTAGTATTGTGGGGACAAGCACAGCTTCTAGAGCCAGGTTACAGCTGGGTTTGAATCCCAGTTCAGCCACAGATGGTCTTGTGACAGTTTGTTCCACTTCTGTGACTCAGCTTCCTCATCTATCAAATAGAGGGTAATGAGAATTATCTCGCTGGATTGTTGAGAGAAAAAAGTGAGATAATACCTGAAAGTTCTAGGAACTGGGCCTGGGAAGTCAGATAGCTCAATAGTTAGGCATTATTGTTAACTGCTGCTGTTATTATTATTGCTGTTATTATAGAAAGAGGCACTCACAATGCCTCTCTCGGACCCCAGTGCAAGGATAGTGAACAGCCAGTCATCCCTCTCTGGTCCCAGAAGTCTGAGTTTGATTGGCTTCAAGGGGCAGCCATTCCTCACCCCTCAGGGGTACAGAAGAGAGCAAACCAGTTGTGTGTGAGGTGAGTAGCCAGAGGACAGAAAAGGCTCTCCTGGTTTATCTTCATCACTTGGACCCTGTGGGTCTCAGCTCATTGTGAATTTGCTACCGCTCCCCACCATCAAGAACTGATATCTAAGGCCCAGAGGCTGCTGGCTTGGCAGGGCCTGGGTGGAGCCAGGTCAAGCTGAGTATCTGGAGGCAGTTTATTTTCAGCTGAAGTCTCTGGGTATTTGATTATTCACTACACAGAGAAGGGAATTAGCATCTTGTTGTTTGTTTTATGAAATCACTCCAGTGCTAAGCTGCTGTTTCCAAGCAACCTCCGCTTCCCAGTTAATGACCCTGGCGGTCTGGGCCTTGGGCGCTCCAGCCTAGGGTGACTGTGGAGATGGCAGTGCCCAGGATGGCCTATGGCCCCTGCACACAGCTGGCTTCTCTTCCTGGCTCAGGAGGCTGGTACACCAATCTAGACAGGGAAGAGGAGACATGGAGAGCCCTCCCCTGGAAGAAGAGTCAGTGATTTGTACTCTGGCTTAGGAAGTAACTGTCCAACACGTCTCCTGTAGCTTGGGGTACCAATGGCCAGTACGCCTCTGGAAAAATGCACAGACTCCATCCCCTAGTACCCCTTCCCTAGGAGTTTTCTTCTGAAAAGCCCAGCTGCTCCAGGCTCATACTTGCACTGCTCACACCTTGACATCTCCGCCAGTGCCCCAACTCTTAACTCTCCTCTCTAGCATCATCTCCCAAGCCTGCTGGCTTCCATGAGAGCCTCAGACTCCTGGCCTGGATGACACTGCACCCAGTCCCCCTGCCCAGCCTCTCTGGGTCCTGCAGGGTGCAAAGTGTTCTGGAGTAGGGTTCCTAGCACCTTGGTAGGAAGCAGAAGACCCTGATGCCTCTGGCAGCAGCTGTGCGCCTTGCTACTTACTTGGAAAAAGTTTATAGAGAATAACATAGAAGACAACATGGTATGTACCTCCTGGAGTTAATAGGTAGTAAGCGCAGGATAAATGCCAAAACCTTTTGTGAGTGTATGTATGTGGTGTTGAGGATTAAACCCAGGGCCTTGTTCATTGTAGACAAGTGCTCTACCCCTGAGCTACACCCCAACCTCTGAAAAACTTTCTAATGAAAAACAGTATCACAGATGAAGGCAAAATCTCTTCCTGCCTTTCTCTTTTCTCTTGAGGCAGCTGCTGGTATGAATTTGGTGTGTAGCTTATACACTGCAATTTATATATTTATTACATATCTCTATCTTTTTATGACAATGCATGTACTTTTAAAATGTGCATAAAGGACCAGTGCAGTTGCTTACACCTGTAATCTAGCTACATGGGGGGTAAAGATAGGAGTGTCAGGGTTTTGAGGTCAGCCTGGCCAAAAAGTTAGCAAGACCCTATTTGAAAAACAAGCTGGGCATGGTGGCTTACCCCTATAATCCCAGTTATGTGAGAAGTGGAGGCAGATCAGAAGGATCATTGAGACCAACCCAGGTCCATCCCCTCCCCCCCAAAAAAAAGGATAGCTAGACCCCATCTCCAAAAAAAAGCTGGGCATGGTGCTAAACATCTATAATCCCAGCTAGGGAGACATAAGGCATGAGACCATCAGGCATGAGACCAGACCCTGGTAAAAAGGCACAAGGCCCTATTTGAAAAATAAATAAACCAAAAAAAAAAGGACTGGGGGCGTGGATCAAGTTGTACAGTGCTTCCAGCACAAGGTCTTAAGTTCAAGCCCCAATACTGACTCCCCACCCCAAAAAAAAAAAATAGCTGCAAGGACCACTGGGAAAAAAAATTAAAATAAAATAATAAAAATAATTTTCGAATAAAATGTGCATATGTTTATATGTACATTGCACCTTGCAATTCAAGCAACATTTGCTTTGAAATGTGTTGGTGTGAAACCTAGTTCACTTACTTATTTATTTTGGCTTTGAACTCAGGGCCTCACACACTTGCCAGGCAGGTGCTCTACCACTTGCGCCAGGCCCCCAGCCCTTTCTGCTTTAGTTTGCTGTTCAAGTAGGGCTCATACTATAATTCTTCTGTCTCTGCCTCCTAATTAGTTGGAATTACAAGTGGTCTGGCATGCCACCATATCACACTTGTTATTGAGATAAGGTCTCCCTGATGTTGTTTCTTTTTTGCCCAGGCTCACCTCAAACCACCTATGATCCCTCCATCTCTGCCTCCACATAGTTGGGATTACAGGCATGTGCCACCACACTCTGCTAGTTCATGCACCTTAACTGCTGTGTGCGTCTAGGTTTCCATATTTGTGAGCCTTTGTTTACAGCCCTCCCGCTATGACGAAGAAGAGGGAGGCAGTGAGTTTTCTTGCTCACATCTCCTGAAGCACATACATACGCAGATTTTTTAAGAGCAGTGCTATCTAACAGAATAAGTTGTGATCCACATAAATAATTTTAAATGTTCTAGTAGCCACTTTTTTGGCAGTGCGGGGGGTGCAGCCCCTGTCAGGGAAACACTCCAACACTGAGCTATACCCTTGGCCCTAGTAGCCACATTTTTATGCACTTTTTTTTGGTGGGGGGGGTAGTACTGGGATTTGAACTCAGGGCCTCATGCTAGGCATGTATTCTATCTCCAGAACCATGTCCCCAGCTCTCACTTGTTTTTTTTTTTTTTGCTTTTTTAAGGAGGTATTGGGGTTTGAACTCAGGGCCTCATGCTTGCTAGGCAGGTGCTCTACCACTTGAGCCACACGCCATCCTGGTTTTGTGTGTGTGTGTGTGTGTGTGTTGGGTATTTTTGAGATAGGGCCTGGATTGGCTTCAAACCACAGTCCTCCTGAGCCCTGCCTCCTGAGTAGCTAAGATAGCAGGTGTGAACCAGCAGCGCCAGGCAGCCCTCACATTTTAAAAAGCAAAAATAAGGCTGGGGATATAGCTCAAGTGGTAGAGCCCTGGGCTTGATCCCCAGCACTGCAAAATAACTAAAGTAAAATAAAATAAATCAGGTGAAGCTAGGCATGGTGGCATGCAGCTATAGTCCCAGCTTCTTGGTAAGCTGAAGCAAGAAGGTCCCTTGAGCCCAGGAGTTCAAGGCCAGCCTATCTCAATAAGTAAACAGATGAAATTAATTTTAAGAGTATATTTTATTTACCCCACAAAATCCAAATATTCTTGTTTCAACACGTAACTAGTATTAAAAAATGAATGAGGTAATTTACATCCTTTTTATATGCTGAGCCGTGGGAGTCCAATGTGGATTTTACACATACAACACATCTCACTTTACACTGGCCACAATGTAGGTATTCAGTAGCCACATGTAGCTTGTGGTCACTGTACTGGACAGCAAAGTGTTATGGTTTGTGTTAGAATTGGATTTGCTAAGCAGTAGGGTGAGGCTATGCCTTTATTACTTTATTTAGCTAGCTTTGTTAGTTACTAACAAATTACTCTCCAGATAATTGTGCTAACTTACATCTACAAGCAATCTATTTTTACCAACCCTTGATATCATCGGACTTTTAAATTCCAACCCCTCCAGGAAATATTATCTCCTTGTGGTTTTAATTTGAATTTCCACCTTTTGCTCCCTTAGGAGGAAATATGTATACACAGCCTAGGGAAAGTGTGCCATGAGTATTTGAGGACTTGAATTAGTGAGCCTCAGTTTTCCCTTTTGCTGAAACAGGTGATGGGTTCTGCTCTGCCACCAGAGGAGGCGAAGCTCTTTGTGGTAGAAAGTCAGGGAAACCTGTGTTAGGTTCAAAGTGGCAGGTTTGTAAGGAGGTGGGGATTATGGCTCCTTGGAGGCTAAGGGTAGGGATCAGGACCCAAGTTTCCCTTTAAATGCTGTGCCCACTCTCAGCATGGCAAGTAGGGGGCTGAGCCCACCCCATTCCTCTGTCTCTCCTGCTCTGGCAGATTCCAGGATATGAAAGAGGTGTAAGATGTTAAGAGGCTGCAAACCCTGGGAGACCTCGATGATGCTAAAGAAATCCAAGTGTGATGAGTTGAATTTCTAGCATGCCAGAAGGACCCTACCCTGCTCTCCTCCCCTTCAGTACCCCCTTGTTAACCTTATTGGCTAAGGCAGTTTCCATGGAAACTGTCAAGTTCAAAGGGATACTGTAATATGTTCATCGCTGCCTTTCCCCTCATTTCCAGCCAGCCCTTTGGAGCTGAGTTAGAGGTTCTGGGCACTAAGGGAGCTCCAGGAGCTCTGGGTAAGCTTTCATCCATTCATTAATCCTCGCCCCATCCCACTCCCACCCTCCTCTCTCCATTCTTTGTCTCCTCCCTGCAGGCCAGCCAGCTTGGTGTGTACAAAGCATTTGTGGATAACTATAAAGTTGCACTGGAGACAGCTGAGAAGTGCAGCCAGTCCAACAACCAGTTCCAGAAGATCTCAGAGGTAGGCAGCTCCCTTCACAGCCACCCCATGGACCCTGGGCTCTGGGAGCAGCTCAAAGCCCTCTGAGGCACATCTCCTCCCTTGCTTGCTTGTCAGGGAAGCTGTTCCCCTTGTGGGTAGCTCTTGGCCTGACATTTGCTTTCTTGCACTTGACATTTTTCCTCTTAATATAAGAATATTGATTGGTTTGATTTAAAAACAAAAAACAAACAAACTCCATTTCACTCCATTTCAGGTTGGGGGTGGGGAAGGCAGTATTCTCTCATGCTGTGACGACCTTGAGCAAGTGACTTCCCTTCTCTGGAACTGTGTTTTCTCTCCTAGAGAATGAGCTGTTGGGACTTGTCCAGCTCATCTCAAACTTGCTTGAGTACCTCCACTGTTTAAAATGCAGATGCCCAGGCTCCTTTTCTACAGCTTCTGATTCAGAAGGTTGGGGGGCAGGAAGGCAGGAATCTATATTCTAACAAGCTTCTGGGTGACATTTGTCATCAGGAAGGAAGAGCTGAGGAATTCTGGACTAGGTAATCTTTTAAGATTCTTGCCAAGACTAAGACTATGGGCTCACAGAGATAGTAGGGCCACCTAAGGGGAGAAGCCCTGAAGCCTCTGGCCAGGAACGTGCCTTTCCCTTCTTCTATACTTCTATAGCTCACCTTCTCCACCTGCTTCTCTGTAGGGCATAGGCTGTAGCATCACCTACTATTGGCATTTCTATCCAGGAACTGCCAGGGAGGGGCTGATGTTCTGGGATCCTTCAGTTGTGTTCCTCATTCTGTATCTGAAAAGACACCAGGGATACCCCTGAGCCACCGGCCTTACAGAAAGTGCTCAGCTCCAAGCCCAGGGCAAGAGAACCTCTGGATTGTTTCTTTTTTTTTTTTTTTTGGGTGGGGAGACAGATATTTCTACAGTTTTAGAAGTTTCACCTTAAAGGCCCCCTTGGCCTTTTGTTTTCTCCAGCTCAGCTCTGATGCTAGAAAGCTCCGTGAGACTCAGATTGGCTTTCCTGTAATTCCTGGGGCTACAAGTTATGCTCAAGTCTGGAATCAACCGAGTGGCCCCACAGGAGTTGGACAGATAGAGATGCAAATGTCAGCTTGATTATTAGGAAAAGCCAGATTGGAACATGTGGGTTTGTATATGTAGCTGTGTGGGACTTGCTAACACCTCACCTTTGGAAGTAAATGTGTGTATTGAATCCTGGCAGGAACAGGAAGTCACAGACCACTTCCCACAATGGGGGCAGAGCCTGTCCCTCTATCTTAGGGTACAGAGAAGAGGTCTGAGCTCGGTTTCTTCTCCTCAAATCAGTTGAATCACCCTGTGCCTAGGAGGATGGGGTAAGGGCAGGGGAAGTCCCTCTGCGTGGAGTCATGAGGCTAGAGAAATGGTGCTTCCCCTCACACTCCCAGTTCTCCTAGGAACAAACTAGAGTCCCCTGATGTGTGTTCTTGATGGCTCTGTCATGGCTGCCCAGGTGCCCGGGGCCATCATGGTCCAGAGACTGTCCAGAGTGTGGGGTCCCCTTATAGCCTGGATGGATAGCCCATTCTGTGTGCATGGGCATGAGCCCCCGCCCCCATGCATCAGCCCCTCAAAGCCCACCCGTCCCAGAGGGCAGAGCTAGTCCCTGGCCCTCTGCCAGGTGGCTGCTCATCCTGACTCACTCGATGACGATGACGCTGTTGCTTCCTGCTGGCGCTGCCACTTAATTACTGCAATTAGGCCCTTCTCCTCTGCAGCAGGAGTGATTTCATACCTCTAGGCTGCACTGGAGGGGGTGTGGAGCAAAATTCCCTAAAGCCAGGATCCAGGCACCAGTGAAAGACACAGCCTGGAAAAGCTGAACCTGCCACCCCCCCACACACACCCCCTCTCCCTACTGCCAGGCATAGCAAGCTCCATCTCTGGAGATTTTCTCTGTCTAGAAACAGTTGAAGACAGTAGGAAATGAGCTCCCACTGTCTGGGCATTTCCTCCCCCTAGGCAGAGCAGGCAATGTCACTTGGGTACCTGACCTTGGCCTCCCCTTGCCCCCTGCCTTCTCCCCTCCTGGGTTCTGTGCACTCAGCCTGCCAAGTGGGGATTGCATTTCAGCTCCAGTTGCCGTCTATACTTTCCTGATAGCACAGGCTGGGATAGGAGGGGTTTGGACTATTGCCTGAGTCTGTTTCCAGCATCCGTTCCGGGCACTTGCTATGGGCTCCAAGAGGAGTGATTGGGGAGTGTCAGGTGGGCTAGGGGCTGGGTGAGTCCCTCCTGAATGGAGAAGGTGTAGCTTGACTGCCCTGTGAAGTCAGCATCACTGCCTCAGGCTCTTGTCTTCCTTCCCTCCCTGATGCAGGTGTGTAGACCCCTCTGCTTTGGTTCAGGGGTGCTCATGCTCCAAGGATCAGCTGGCACACCTGGTGCTTGTAGGCACAAACCCTGTTTTCCCCAAGCTGTTGTGGACCTGTCCCTGAGGAGTGGCTGCAGGGGGTCATGGGTGGGGTTCTGCTAGTGGCCCCGCTCATCCTCAAGAAGGCCCTCAGAGTTGTTGGTGAGGGGCATCAGGGGGTGAGTCTAAGGAGTTCCCATTGCCACAGTGCTTCCTACCAACCAGTCCTTACTCTGGTACCCAGAGTTCCCATTCTGGTCCACACCCCAGCTGCTGGACTCAGGAGATTCCAGGGATCAGGTGGTGAGGCAGAAGTGATCCACATCCACTGGTATTCTTTGTCTGCTCATATTTGTGCCCCTCGGTTTCAGAGCCCCTCTACCGGCCATGCTCACCACAAGGGAGTGGTATACAGACCAGTTAGTGATTCCTCTCCTCCCTCTGACAGGAACTCAAAGTGAAAGGGCCCAAGGACTCCAAGGACAGCCACACATCTGTCACCATGGAAGGTACTTTGGAGAATGAGCTGGATTGCAGCCACCTTCCTTTGTCTGGTTTTGTGAACTACGGGTTGTATGAATGTGGTGCCCTCCCTGCTTATGTGTGAATGTGTGTGAGGGAGTGCATATGTGAGTGTACGTGTGGATTCCAGCCTCTCCTCCCCAGGCAGCCGGCCAGCTACAAACGTGCTCCTCCTTAGGATGCCAGCAGGCGCTAGGTCCCTCCTCCCTCCCTCCCTCCCTCCCTCCCTCCTTCCTCCCGCCTCTCCACGCGCCTCCCACCCTCCCCCTTGTTAGAGGAGCACTCGGAAGGAAGCGAGCAGTGAGCGGCTGCTTGATTCTGGAGGCTATACAGCAGCAGCCAGCAAGGTGGCCGAGTGGGCCAGGCTGCCGAGGGGAGCCAGGAACCTGGAGCGATGGCTGCACGCCCCTGCCACAGGCACAGAGGCTGCCATGGAAATTCTCCTCATCATTCGATTCTGCTGTAACTGCACCTATGGTAACCCAGGCACCCCTCAGAGGGAGGTGGTGTGTCTTAAGCCCCCTGGGGGCTGGCTGGAGCAGGCTGAAATGTGGCCAGCAGGATGCGGGGGCAGCAGGGGAGGGAGGTTGGGCAAGTGGCTAGACCTGCATGCATTCTTCTTGGGACCAGTGGTCAACCTGGAATTGAAGTCTGGGGGCTGCTCAAGGCAGGGTGGCTTAGATATGGAATGACCAGGCTAGAAGGGTCCAACCCCCCAAGCCACTCCCCTCAGGATCTGCAGGGGAACTGGCAGCTTGGCTTAGCCTGTGCATAACAGGCTTTTGAGCAACTTCCTGGAGAGGTAAAGAAAGTGACAGGCTGTAACTGCAGGCAGGGTAACCCTGAGGCCAGGGAGAGAGGCAGTAGGACCAGGCAGAGAGGGGCAGAGGGGCAGGAGGGTACCAGCCTGAGCTGGAGGAAGAAGTTGGGAGTTTCTTTGTTCCAGCGAGAGATGAGGAGGAGGTTGGGCAGCCTGAGTATTGTGTGCTCTGTGCACATGCTACCTCCTCCTAGGACTGTGCGAACTGCCTTGCTTCTAGGTTGCTTTCTAGCTTCTGGAGACCCTTGAGCCTAGGTCTCTGCACTCAGCACAGAAGGTTGGCATTGGGAGAGGGGGGCGTGGCAGGCTGCTCCTTTGTGAAGGTCACATACCCACCCTTCAGTGGGAGGGACCCAGAGCATCCTCTCTGCAGCTCTCTCAGCTTCGGGCAGTGGACCTAGGACAGGCATGTGCAATTAGCCTGGCTGTTGTTCCTAGGAGGAAGAAACAGGCCTAGGCGAGAGGTGTCCAAAAGCTGATGGACCCTGCTCTCCAAAGCAAGAAGTGCCTTAGGGGTGACCTAAGCTGCCTTTGGAAGGGCATGGGGGACTCATGTTGCCTCCAGGCCAGCTGCTCAGGGACCATGTATGTCAGAGCGGCAGGTAGCTGGCTTGAGGACCTTCCTCTTCCCTCCCACCAGGCATTTTGTCTGCACCCTTCTCAGTCACTGTGCTTGCCTATCTCCGTGGTAACCCAGGGCTCCATGTTATAGGCTGAATCGAGGGTGGTTGCTGTTTGTTATAGAGGAGGAATGGTTGAGGTTTTGGGGTTCTTTCCCAGAGGCTGCTGTGCCAGGGGTGGAGAGGGGCTGTGCAGGACCACTGTCCCCCTTACCTTCCAGTCTTCCTCTTGTGGTGGAAGCAGCCTGGGAGGTAGTCGTTGCATCTGCCCCAGCGAGACAGCTGCAGGCACACCAGTTCAGGACAGAAGACCCTTGTGGCCCCCTCCCCCTCAACTGATTCCAGCTGGTTGGGGTCAAGAGGAGAGCTGGACTTGAAACTTGCCTGTTCAGAAAGCAGAGGGGAAATGCTCTTTTTGGTCTGGCCTTAGGAGTTGGTCAGGTCTCAGCCCTGCTTCCCTAAAAAGAAAAGGGATCAGTCCTTTGCTTCCTCTTCCCTTTCCAGTAGGTGAAGTAGGCCTGGGACCTAGAACTCAGGGTTCCTTTGGTCCTTGTGATACTATCTTTGAAATCAGCTTCAAAGCAGGGAATGAGGACTGAAAGAGACAACTCTTAAAGAAGGGTCTCACTGTAACTGGAGAGCACAAATCACCCCAGAATCCTCCTGTGGTTCACAGAGCTTCTAGAGGGACTGACCTCTTGTAGAAGATGGCTAAGCATGGCAAACCAAAATTCAAAACCCAAAATCCAGCCACCACTCACGGCTTTGTGACTGTGAACAAGTTACACAATGTTTCCGTCCCTCGGTTTCCTCTCTGTAAAAATGGGGCTGGTGAAAATTGCTCCCCTTTTAATCACAGGAAATAACATGCCTAAGGCAGTTAACTCTGTCACTGGGCACAGAGGGGCCGACTAGAGAGACCAGCTTGCTCAGGTTGATGGTCTGACTTCTGGACTCTGCACATGTTGTTTGCAAAGGCCCTGGTTAGGGAAGGCTTCCCGGAAGAGGGGGAAAGACAAACCTGTCCACTTGTTGCATGGTGAGTATGCCAGGCAAGACAGTGAGGAGTGGGGAGTGGCCCCACAGCCAGCTGGCCTCCCACAGCCAGGAACAGGGAGGGGCAGGAGCTTCTGGGGCAAGGATGAACTGCAGGGATCATGAGGAACACAGACTCTGCAGGTACCCTTCCTCTCCTGGGTTCCTCCGTATTTGATATGGCCCAGGGCCTCTTCTGTCCTTCCCTCTCCTGACCTTTCCTCCAAGGTCCCCTCCCCCACTCAGCCAAGGCTGCAGGACTCGTTCCATGGCCCCCATCAGATGGACTTTTTAGGTGGTGACAGGCATATTAATAACCCCTCTGAAACTTGACCCACCATTTGTGCAGATCTCTGAGTGTAGTCAGAAACCTCTTCCTCCTAGGACTTGGGAGAGGGAGGGGGAAGGAGTTGCGTGAGCTGATGCTGCATTTTCTGGGGGCTGGGACGCAGAGCCCACTATGGCACTAGTCTGCTGAGTTTGTGCTTGCTGTGGGTCTCTGGGGTTCTCCTGGTATGACTGTCCCTGAAGGTGTGCCTAGCCACAGGTGGATGGGAGCCCTTAGGTACCCCAAAAGTGGGGCCCCCCTGAGCTTTACCCTCACTGTCTCAGGATACCCCAAGCCCTGTCCTACCCATTGTAGCTCCCATGGCCCATGGGGAGGGTCTCTAGAAATTGCTAGTTAAGAAATGGCTACAAATAAGTCCTAGGAAGTGGGTTTGCATAGCATAGCAGTTTTACTATGCATCAGTATGAGCAAAGAGGCTTTTTGAAAATGCTGCTACCCTGTTTTGCCTTATGGAGATTTGGGGTTAGTTGATGGGGTGGGGGTGGCATCTGTTTTTCTTAAGAGCTCCCTCAGTGGTTCTAGTGGGCAGCCAAGCAAAGGCTGCAGATAAGGCTCTTGGCACCCCGCTGAGACCGCATCTTCTTCACAGCAGGCAGATTGCTCCCTAAAGTGCCTGTCTAGCAATTCACAGGGTATTTATATCTCTGACTTAGGACCCTCTTTGATTAGGGGACTGACTATAGTATGAGTGTCAGCTCAGGGATCAGTTACAACTTGGTCCTGACTTTTGGTCAGAGTCCTTCCCAGATCAGCATCTGTCTCTTATTGTTCCTATGGCAGGAGGCCAAAAGTCATGACTCCATGGACTGAGGCATCCAGGTGCAGGACCAACAGTGGTGGGAGGGGCTGGGCACAGCTGCTTGCTGGAAGGATGTTTAGAAGTATTGGGCTGCCAGCTGCTGTCTCCACCTGTCCCTGCTGACTCCAGGCAGTCCTCATTTGGTGTCTGGGTCATGGAGGGGTGCGACACATGGGGGCCTGGCTGAGTGTGCATTTTCCCAGCCTCCTGGGGCTCCCATGGCTAGACCCTACCTGAATTCCTTTAGGAAGTCTTTGCCCTGCAGGCTGCTATTGGCTTGAGGACTTTTGATGGATATCTGGCCTGGCTTCTGGTCCTCAGCTTGTGTGGGGATTCAGTGACATGTGAAAAGGGTCTCTCTTTGTAGAAATGAGGTGGGTGCGTGGGTCAGAATGACGCATGCTGTTCCCAAGTGGCTCCAGTGCCAGGTCGTGGACAGAAGGAGCAAGAGAGTAATGGGCACAGAGGAGCTGTCCTTTCTAGCAAAACAGCACATCTCCTTCCTCTATCCCGGTCCTGGGTGGGACCTAGAGTGTGCTAGACCACTGTTGGGCATGCTTAGGTGTGATTGTGTGATTGAGGGCATGTATGTAGGGAAGTAGCTGCTGTGAGGCAGGCCAAACCAAGACAAGCCTGGGGGATGGACCTTGAAGAAGTCATGTCCAACAGGCTATGAGGTGGGTGGCCAGGGCCATGTGTCCACCTTTGTGTTGTTTGGCCTGTCCTGAGAGTGAGCGTACGATTGCTGTAGAACCCACTTTGGCTTCCTGAAAGTGGTGTTCATGTGGGAAGCAAGGGGGGATGGGGGTAAAGCTGTTCTCCAAGGTCTTGAGTTGCTCCTTGAACTCATTATCCTGTCTCCTTTCCCTGCCTTCCCCAACAGCTCTGCTGTACAAGCCCATTGACCGGGTCACTCGAAGCACCCTGGTCCTACATGTGAGTGTCGGGACCCCTGAATGGCCAGGGAAGGGTTAAGAGTTGGATGGGAGGGCACTGGAGTCACTGAGACTCCATTTGGGGAGCCAGGCATAGGGTCTCTGGGTCCCAACTGTACCTGCCTGACCTGCAGTAACTATGCCAACAGGACTGGGACCTAAATGTAGCTTGGCTACTAAGCTTGATATTTGGCCAAATGCTCCCTAGGAGGTAGGCACCTCCTGCTTTTCCATCGCCTGCCTGACAGACTCCAGTTTCTGGGAGCAGAAATGGGGTGGGTATGGGGGTGTCTCTCCCAGCTGCTTGGTGAGATGAGGCTGATCCCACCATGGGAAAGAACCACAACTGCAGTAAGAATAGAGGGAACACTGCCTTTACCCCAACTGTTCTGACCCAAAGTTTTAGTTTAGATTTTACAGGCATGCCCAGCCAGATTAGAGTGTGGATCCCTCAGTGTCCCCCTCAGGGGTGAGGATTGAGTATTCCCCACCCCAAACTGCTCCCCTCCCCCGCAAATTCACCACCCCCATCTCTTCCCAGGACCTGCTGAAGCACACACCTGTAGACCACCCAGACTACCCGCTGCTGCAGGATGCCCTTCGCATCTCCCAGAACTTCCTGTCCAGCATCAATGAAGACATTGACCCCCGACGGACTGCAGTCACAACCCCCAAGGGGGAGGTGAGCTACAGACTCTACACAGCCCTAGAGTGAGGAGTGGGTAATGGACCAGATTCCCCCAGAGAGAGCATGTGCTGTCCTTCAGGCACAGATGTTGCTGCCGAGTACTCTGTGCCTTTGTGCCCTGCATCCTTTATTCCCAGCCAAGGGGAGGTCTGCAGACTTCAGTCACCCTCATTACCTGTGGCATTTCAGGCTATGGGCTAAGAGCTTTAAGCCTAGTGTCTCATTAATCCTCACAATAACCCAGTGAAGCACAAGAGGAAACTGAGTGTCTCTCCAGGTCTGGCATAAGGGCCTCAGCCAGAAGTGCCAGAATTGGATTCTGTATCGGACACCCTCTGGCTGCAAACCCCCTGTGTCGTCCAGGTCTGGCATAAGGACCTCAGCCAGAAATGCCAGAATTGAATTCTGTATCTGATGCCCTCTGGCTGCAAACCCCCTGTGTCGTCCCCCATGTGAGGGAAGCTGAACTTCTGGGTACCTCATTCTTGGATGCAAACATTCCCCTCTGGTTAGCATGGTGGTCTTAGGAGACCCCAGGGAGGGGGAGGGAGCAGGGACTCTGAGCAGCTTTATGACCTGCACAGCAGGTGGGCCAGATCTAGGGAGTGAGCCCAACACCAAAACCACTGGGACTAAGATGGTGAAGGCCCAGACTGCTGAAATGTCCTCACAGACACTTAGAATGTGGCACAGTAGCTCCCCTGGGGGCCCTTGCTGGAAAGGGTGGGGGGTAGCCCAGTGAGGGGAAGCAATGTGGAGAATCTGAGGGTCAGTGACCCTCATGGGTCAGCAGCCTGGCCTAGATACAGTGCTTCCTGTCCAACGGAGGTAATTAAGTGGCATTTGGGAGTGAAGGCTGGCTGGGTTTTTGCTCCTTTGTTACATTTACAAGCCTCCAGTGACTCCTGGAAAGGGAAGTAATGAGGGACAGGGTCTGGAGCGTGACAAATGCGGCTTGGAGCTGTCTCTGAGTGCAGTTCCCAGCCCTGGTTTGCAGCACCCTGAGTGTCACCTCCGGAGACATCTGAAAAATCTCCAGAGGGCTCAGAACACCATCAGTTTCAGGTTGTCTTAATTGTGTCCTTTCAACATGCTCACCCACACACTGCAGTGTTTGTAGTGCACACAGGAGAGGCTGGGATAGAGAGTGACAGCTCCAGAGAAGCATGCTGGCTCTGAAGGTGGCAGGGAGGAAGCCAGACTGTCCAAAGCTCAGTTTAGAGGACTGCTACAGCAGTCCACTGGGGAAAGGCCAGGGTCTCATCTGCTGGGAGTAGTTAAAGAATCTATTGAGAAGTGGCATAAACAGGCCTGAGTGCGTCTGTAGGTCAAGGCTGAGCTGAAACTACATTAACTTCTTTTTTGGTGATACTGAGGATTGAGCCCAGGGCTTTCTTCATGCTAGGCAAGCACTCTACTGTTTGAGCCATGTCCCCAGCCCTAGATTAACTTCTTAGGATTGATTGGAAGGGGCTGTGAAGACAAGGGATGGTGCAGAAACCAGGTCATTGGCTCAGAGTGCAGAAACCAGGTCATTCTGAACTAGGGTCATCCAGTGGGGGAGCTGTTGAGAGCCAAGCCAAATGTAAAGCTACCATTTGTGATCACATATTATGCACCAGGCACTATGCTGGGTTTTTTTGTTTGTTTTTTGGTGGGTCTTGGGATTGAACTCACAGTGTTGTACTTGCAAAGTAGGTGCTCTACCACTTGAGTCCATTTTGCTCTGGTTATTTGTAGATGAGATCCCATGAACTATTTGCCTGGGCTGGTCTTAAACTGCTATCCTCCTGGCCTTAGCCCTCCAAATGGCTAGGATTACAGGCATGAACCCCTGGAGCCTGCCTGGCACTGTGCTATTTTACATGCCCCATCTTGAGTAATCCTTCCTCTTGGGGCGGACAACTTTCTCCTTTAATACAGATGATAAATCCGAGATTACCAAGGTCAGGGACTGTGCCTGGGATCACAGCTGAGGAGTGGCAGAGTCTGGATTCAGACCCATGACTCCAAAGCCAATGCTGTTAACCAGCAGGCAGCAGCCCTCCCTCCAGCCCTCCCCAGCTGGGTGATGTCCCTGGTGGAGGCTGGGCCTTGGCCTGCAGTCCCCTCTGATCAGTCTGGGGGCTGTGCCATCTCCCTCAGACGCGGCAGCTGGTGAAGGATGGTTTCCTGGTGGAAATGTCGGAGAGCTCCCGGAAGCTGCGACATGTCTTCCTCTTCACAGATGTCCTTCTGTGTGCCAAGCTGAAGAAGACCTCTGCAGGGTAAGTATGTGGGAATGAGCCCAGGGTCAGGGTGGGAGATAGTCAGACTCTGTTCCTGTGGAGCCCTCACCCAGACTGGGGCAATCTGTAATATTTTCCTTTTGGAAATATATTAATTAATTTTATTTTATTACACATCCTTTTCCTAAAAATAAATCATGCTTTTAATTATAAAGATAATATGAGGACATCACAGAACAAAAAAAAAAAAAAGAAAAAAAGGACATCACCCATTTGAACAGAAGGATTAGTCTCCTGTGGCTATATTTCCTTCTTGTTTTTTTTTTTTTAAATTCATTTGTAATCAGAGTGAATGCTCAATTTTGGGCTCTGCTCTATTTCATGTCATAAGCATTTTTCCCTTTTGCTGCCTAATCTTCATAATCATCATTTTACTTTCCTGCATGATGTTACAAGTGGATATGCCATAATTTACTTAAGCATTCTCCTTTTATTAGACATCTCTAAATTTTTGCTAACTGCAATTCTGTGAATATTCATTAAATCTGCCATTTATTGAGGGTGGATGCCGTGCCAGGTGCCATGACAAATGCTTGAAATACATCATTTCCAGTCTTTCCCACAGCTCCACAGTTTCTATCCGTTATTATCATGGTCCCCATTTCCCAGATGAGAGAAGAGTCTTAGAGAAGGTAAATAAATTGTCACACAGCTAGATGTGGAGAAGATGGAATTTGAACCCTAATCTAACTTGAGCACCCCTTTCCAACTCTGTCTGCATAGTGTGGGTCTGCTCTATGCCGTGAGCAAAAAGATCATCCAGTGTTCACATGTTCTTCCACTTGTATTTCCTTATCACCTGCTATGTGCAAAGTACACTTCCTTACAGTACAGGGGGATCAGATCCACTAGGGAATCAGAAAGAGAGAACAGATCCGAGTCCTAGAGGAAGTCAAAGAAGTGAAGACGATCGTGAGGTTCAACAACGGACATTACTCCCTAAAACTAGACCACATTCCAGATAGTTCTAAAGCAGAGATGTCAGTGATATTCCTAGAAGGCCTCTGCCTGCCATCCTTTGCCCATGGCAGACATAACTAATCAACCACAGCACCCTTTCCCATGGCTTGGATGGAGCTTTGTAATCCTCACCCCACTATCCTGTGTGACCCTGATTATTTGGCTCAGAATAACATCTCTATCTCACCTCTACCCCTAAAGGATAATGCATGTGAGCCTTGGTATAGACAGGCTAGAAGGAAGAAAAGGGTGTGTGAGCCCAACCAAGAAGGCTCTGCTCTTCTTGATACACAAGCGGTTTGGGATATTTAAAAACAGCAGTCCTGCTGGGCGTTGGTGGCTCTTGCCTGTAATCCTAGCTACTCAGGAGGCAGAGATCAGAAGGATCATGATTTGAGCCCAGCCCAGGGAAATAGTTTGCGAGACCCTATCTTGAAAAAACCCAACATAAAACAGGACTGGCAAGCTGAAGAACAGAGCACTTGCTGCTGGCTGACCCAAACCCTGACTTTCATTACTCCATGTTTGTGTTTCCTGATCAAGGGCAAGGATCACTCTTGCCTCTGATGAGTTCTCAGTAAATTCCTTTCAGGTTGTTTCTGGTCTGGGCCCAGCAGTTCTGGGTTGAAGAGCTCACTTCCTCCTGGCTCATGTCTCCCTTGGCTTGTTTGCAGAAAGCACCAGCAATATGACTGTAAGTGGTACATCCCCCTGGCCGACTTAGTGTTTCCATCCCCTGAGGAGTCGGAGGCCAGCCCCCAGGTGCACCTCTTCCCAGACCACGAGCTGGAGGACATGAAAATGAAGATCTCTGCTCTCAAGAGTGAAATCCAGAAGGAGGTGAGCAGAGTCTGGCACCTAAGCCTGGCTGGGGCTGTTTTGACTGGGTCTCTTTGAACCAGCTATGCTGGGGGGAGGTGGAGGCAGGGGAGCTATAAGTTTTGAGGGTCTGGTAGAGGAGGCAGGACAAAAGAGTGGGAACCCTTGAGTATTTAGGTACTTAGGGAAAGCCCCGAGTAAGACAGATTAGCTCTGAGCAAGTGGTGGGAGGGCCAAGGAGGGAGTGCTCAGAATTTAGTAGGTTGAATTTTGGAACATTTCCTGGAGAACAGTATATATTGAACACTGTAGAAAGGGAAGCAAGAGAGGAAGAACAAGAGGGCCTTTTTAAGGAGAAGCAGGACATATGCAAAAGAAAAGGCCCAGGAGGCCTTACCAGCAACTGACAGACCAAGTGGGCAGATAAACAGGGAGAGAATATACCTGAGTCCCACCATTCACCTGCCAGCCTAAAAACGCATAGAAGAGAGCCAGATTCCTATCACTTCCGGAAATTTACAAATATTTGGTCTATGTTAAAGCACAAGGAAACCTTAAATTAGAAAAAGGGTGGGGGGGGGCTGCTGGGGTGCCAGTAGTTCATGCCTGTAATTCTGTCTACTTGGGAGGCTGAGATAGGAAGCCATGTTTCAAGGCCAGCCTGGGCAAATAGTTCATAAGACCCCATCTCCAGAATAACCAGAGCAAATAAACCAGAGTTATGACTCAAGTGGAAGAGACCTGCTTTGCAAGTGCAAAATCCTGAGTTCAAACTCCAGTCCCACCAAAAAAAAAAAAAAAAAAAAAAAAAAAAAATCACATATTTGAAGTCAGTGGCTAGAGGAAAGCATCATTGGGGTAACCTTCCCCGGGTGTAGTTGAGGTGTTCTGTCTTCCTCACATATCCAGGCTTGGCTTAGACCTCTTCTCTCCTCTCAGGGAAACCTTCTCTGATATCCACCTCTACCATAGATTGGGTTGGGTACCCACTCCTGGTTCCTTGTGTTTGCTGCTGGCTTTGCTCTAATGATACAACTTTCTCCCTTCCCTGCTAGAGTTGGAATTCTAGTAAGTGGTCTGTTTCCTCCAGTCCTGTGCCTCCAACACTTAGCACATAGTGAATAGACCCTTAATACACAACTACAGAGGGATACAAGACCAAATGGCCTCTGAAGATGCTTTCAACTCAAACCTCTGTCTTTAAGTCAGGGAAAAGACCACAGTTAGAGGGGTGTTTGGGGCAGGAGGATGTCCTAGGACTGAAGGTCTGCTTCGGGGTGCATCTGCCCAGAGAGAGCTCCTGGACCTGCACAGGTGCCCTCCTCCTGAAGGGCTGGGCCCAGCCTGTTTTTGCCAAGCCTGTTTGCCTGTCTGGCCCTGTCCACCTTCCCCACTCTGTGAGCATCCTGCATGCATGCTTCTCACCTGGGCCTGGGAGCTGGGAGGCCTTGTGCCTTCCTTCCTGACCCAGGTGTGCAAATGTGGCCTTCTGCTCAGTCAGGTCAACACATACTGAACCCCACTGGCTGCAGGGGGTTAGCCAGACACCTCACAGAGCTCCTTGTCCAGTGGAGAAGAAGGCAGGCAAGTGCAGCATCAATCCCAGGACATGACTCGTGTGACAAGAGTCACTGGAAAAGCAGAGGTGTAGTCCCTAAGTCACAGAAGAAGCAGAGATTTATTCTTGATTGTTGTTTTTGAGATAGAGTCTCACTGTGTAGCTCAGGGTGGCCTCAAACTCCCAATTCTCCTGCCTCAGCCTCCTGAGTGCTGTGATTTCAGGCATGGACCACCACACCCTCCTAAGGTTTATTATTTTAATAATAATAATTTCTTTTAAAAATTTTAGTCATTAACATAATACTGGATTCCTACAATAAGAAATGCTCACAAAACCAAAGTATATAGAGCAAAATTGGTGTTACTCACCTCCTGTTGTAAACAGCTTGAGGTCTTTTCTTTTAGACTTTTCTATGCTGATACTGGAGGGTGTACATGCGTACATACACACATCTAATTTTTTTAATGAGATAAGACCACGTGTGCTATTTTGCAACTTTTTAGGCTCTTCGCATGCCTGCATCTTAGAGCAGACCTTTCTAGCAACAGAAGCATGTTGTGTGGCTGGACTGTGCAGCAGTGCGTCTGGGAACTCAGATGTTTCCTGTTCTTTTCCCGTAGGAGGCGGCTCTGCAGTACACATCACTGCCCCGTGTCTCTGTGGGGGATTCCCTACATACAAGTGATGTGGCTGGGCAGATGACATGTGCTTTCAATTGGCAGATTTGCCTCAGAAAAGTTGTGTGTGGTTACAGTGTAAAAGAGCCACTGTCTCCCACACTGGCACAGCACTGTGAGCAGTCGTTATAATTCTGCCAGACTAGAGGGTTTAAAAATGAGATAAGATTAGTTCTAATTGGAGAGCTTGAGGACTGCACTGGCACTGAGTCCTAAAGTACAATAGCAGTTAATAAGAGGGAGGGACCCTTAATTAAATAGACGGAAAGCTGGAAAACTAGAGGAGAAAGCTGCACTGGCAGGGGGAATGGCTTGTGGACAGTGAGGCGGAGCCTGAGATGCAGGGTGGGGTGTGTGGAACACCAGGCTGGGCTCAGAGGCTGGAACTCAAGCATGAGGCCCTGTGGCTAGGCCAGCAGCTGGGGCTTCATGCTGAAAGGTGTCTGAGGTTTTTTTTTAACAAGCAGTATGTCTCTGTTGAACCCAGGATTTAATTTAAACAGGCAACTGAGGAACAGTGCACCAAAAGGTTTTCGTTACTTAAGTTCTATGAGAGAAGAGACCTTGCCATACCGCCCAGGGCCACAGGGGAAGAAGCAGAGGGGTTGGTCAGAAGGCAGAAGGAATGACAGGAAAGCTCAGACCATGTGTTGCTGAGAAGCAACTTAGGATTGACTAGTTCAGATAATGGCCCCGGATGATTTGGGGCAGAGGAAATCTTGGCTTGGTGGGTGAAGGTTGTGTAAAGGGGCATTGAGGACTTGGATTAGTTGGATGGCATAAGAAAGTTGTGCACAGGAGAGTCAGTCAGGAATTGGCTGGCTCTGGGAGGAGTGTTTCTCCTCACCTAGCTAGGCCCCAGAGATGTCAAACATCATATAATACAGAATCAGAATGTGCAAAAGCATGATTAATATACAGGGGTGCTGTGAGAAGTGGAGTCTGAGTGTGAGGGAAACCATCTATACCTCGTCCCCTGCAGAAAGCCAACAAAGGGCAGAGCCGAGCCATTGAGCGTCTCAAAAAGAAGATGTTCGAGAACGAGTTCTTGCTGCTGCTCAATTCCCCCACAATCCCCTTTCGGATCCACAACCGGAATGGAAAGGTCAGAAAGGATGGGGGTGGGACAGAGATAGCTCCTTCCTTAGTTCAAAGCTGCCCACTGTCCATGGCTCCTGGCCCTGACCTATGGGAATCAGGACTTGGCCCCATTTCTCAGAAAGCTGCCATGATTTCAGCTCTGGACTCTCCCTGATAGTGGGAAACCAGTGCCCCCTGCTGGTCATCACAGGCACTGGCATGCCCAGAAAGGAGCCCCTGCCCCTACCCCCATACTCCCAGCTGCTTCCTTCTCCAAGCTCAGGGTAAGAAGGAACTTTGATAGGGACTCCAAGGTCTGGAACTATGCTTGGCTGACTGTGATCACACCACTGAATTCTCATCTCCTTTCTTTAGAGCTACCTGTTTCTACTGTCCTCAGACTATGAGAGGTCAGAGTGGAGAGAAGCGATTCAGAAACTACAGAAGAAGGGTAAAGTCTTGCACTGCCTGAGTCTGTCCTCGCAGGGATGGTCCTGTGGCATTTTTAAGCCTTTTCATGGCCAGCATCTCTTCTTCTCCTTGGTCCTCACTGCCACCCTATAAGATGCCAGGGAAGATGGCCCTTTACTGAGCTTTCAAAGAATTTAAGTGATTTGCTTAAAGCATAGATGTATTAGTGGTAGGACTGGACTCAGAGCTCAGGGCTGGGTGTCATCCTCCCTCTCTCACTTTTGCTTTCATACAAACACTGAGCCTTCATTTAGATTCTTCTCTTGCCCTTCCGAAAGCACATACAACTGGGCCTGTGTGAATGTCTGTGAGTCTTTCCCTTTCTCCCAAGGACCAACAACTCTGACCCTAGAACTAAGTTGTTTTCCTATAGCACCTACCAAGGAAAAGCAGCAAGTTCTAGTGGACCGGTGCTGATGCTCCTTCCTCTCTTGGCTCCTTCTACAGATCTCCAGGCATTTGTCCTGAGCTCAGTAGAGCTCCAGGTGCTCACAGGATCCTGTTTCAAGCTTAGGACTGTACACAATATTCCTGTCACCAGCAATAAAGATGGTAAGATCTAGAAGCTGAGGTTGCCCGACCAGTAGATCCAAGCCCGCCCCCTGCCCCAGACACTGCTGGAGGCTTCTGTAAGGGCCTAGCTGGACATGTGTCTACAAATGGTTGATCTCTGCTCAACCAGACTGGAACTGTTCTGTTGCCAGGTACACAGAGTCCCTAGCTGTGCCGTTTCCCGCCCCCGCCAGGTCCTGTCCCCTGTGGTTTGGGAGAAGAATCTGCACCTGCCCCAAGGCACTGGGAGGTTCATAAGGAAGCCCAGTGGTGAAGCAGAAGCCAAAGCATGGGCAGTGGGAAGAAAGGTGGTAGGTGGATGAGAGTAGTATATGAGAAATCAGGCCAGAAGTTTCTTGGACAGATCTTGGAAAGCCTTGAATGCCAGACAAGGGAGTTTGGAAGTCATGCTGTAATCCCAGGAGCCTCTGGGAGGTTTTTGATCAGGAAGAGCTACAATTCAGGTTGGAAAGTAGCAGATGAATTCTGGCTTCCCAGGGTTTTTGAAAGAGATTTTGAAGACCAGCTTTCTTTGGCATATCAGGGTCATCGAGGGACCCATGTGTCCCAAGCATGGGGCCAAGCTGAGTCTTTTCTTTTCCATTAGTGGAGTGATTTATATTAGTTCATTTCCATTTTGAAAGCTGAAACTGTGGTCAGCCACGGGACAGGCAGGATTCAGAGGGTGGAATGGACTCAGAAATGGGACCAAATGTCTGGCCCAGGACAGTAGGCAGGGGCTAGCCTCCTAGCTGAGTAGAGCAGAGAAGCGCCCTAGTCCTACCTGGGGCAGCTCACAGTGGAGGAAACTTTTTCAGCCGGCCACCAGGTGGTGCTGTCAGACCAAGGCACAGGTTTGTCTCACTGTCTGCCTCCCCTGCAGCCTGGAGTAGGGGAGGGGGTGAGCCCCTCACCACCCCTACCCTGGTGACTTTTCTCTTTTTTTTTTATTTTTATTTTATTCATATGTGGATACAATGTTTGGGTCATGACTTTTCTCACTTGCAGATGATGAGTCTCCGGGACTCTATGGCTTCCTTCATGTCATCGTTCACTCTGCTAAGGGGTTTAAACAATCAGCCAGTAAGTGCCCCTACGAGCCCTAGAACAAGTAAGCGGGGAGGGTATTGTTCATTTTTCACAAAACGTTCTTGTGGGTCTGATGTGTGGTGCTCCCAGTGCCCACCTGCTCTACTCTGATCTTCTCAGACCGGGTCCCTGCCAGCATGCCTAAGACGTGAGGCATTAACCCCCGACTGAGGCCAGGAACCAGGCCTGCTGGCTGGGGGAGTGCCCCTGCCTTTGCCCTTTGTCTCCAAGATCATGCTCTGCCCCCAAGCCCTCCCTCTGTACATCTGAAACCCTGGAGCTGCAAATACCTGGGCTCCAGCCCCATATCTGCCAAGTGCCAGCTATGTGACCTTGGGCAAGTTTCTTAATCTCGCTGAGCCTCAGCTTCCTTTTCCATAAAAGGCAATCACACTTGTGAACACTAACCTGAGAGTGGCTTAAATATGACCCTGTATGTGCAATGCCTGCCCACATTCCTTGTCCTCCCCTTCCTTGTCATCTTCTCCTAAATATATAGATTAATGGTATTGTAGGTTTGATAGTGATACATTTAGCATTTTTTTTAGCAACATGGGAATGTGTGTCATTCAGACAGCTTATAGTTCCTACCCATTTGCCTGAGAAAACTGAGTCACATAGAGGTGACACAGGATCAGAAACCCAGGGCTCTTGACTCCTTCCTACTTCCTTCTCTTACTCTACAGCAGGTGAGATCTGCCCTCCCTGCTTTCCCTGCAGGCACCTTGTTGAGGCCGTGCTGCTGGCCACAAACAACCATCCCATCAGCTCTGCTGGGACGTCTCCCTGCCCTGCTGGGGTGGGTAAATTGGCCTTCCCCTCTGTGTCCTCACCACACTCTGGGTGAACCATGGTTATAGCACCTGTCACACTGCTTTGTCACTTATAGTTTGTCTCTCTCACTGTGAGTTCTTTGAAGGAAGGAACCAGGTCTTCTTTATCCTTCGATGGCTAGGAGCTCAGAAAAGCTGAATGATGCTGTTAATTTACAGAGCACCTACTGTGTACCTAGAGAAAATGAGAACACAGCCATGTGTGGACAGCACCTTGGCGTGTTCAAAGTCTTTGGAGGCTCTTTGTCTGCCTCAGTCCTCTGGCATGTCCCTGAGGTCATCGATATCATTCCCACTTTACTTCTGAGGAAACTGAGGCTCAGAGGGCTCTAGGGACCTGTCAGGGTTGCATGGGTAGTCAGGGGTGAGAATTCATGCTTTCTGACACCAATGCCCACCCCTTTCCTTTGTAGCATTTCTGAGGGGAATGTCGGGAAGGCCCTTACCACCACTACCCCTACCCTGGCCCTGACTCTGGGCCTGTCGGACCTCACTTGGTATGTCTGTCTGTCCTTCCTCCTACAGACTTGTACTGTACTCTGGAGGTGGATTCCTTTGGCTATTTTGTCAGCAAAGCCAAAACCAGGGTATTTCGGGACACAACAGAGCCCAAATGGGATGAGGTGAGTGGAGGAGGCTGGTGTCCCCACAAGGACCCCTAATTGTCACCAAGCATGCCCATCCCATTCCCTGTGCTCATGATCTATCTGCTGAGGGTGGCCAAGCCTGCCAATTGAACCATCCCTGTCCCCCTAACCCTCTCCTTCCACTCCTTGTTCATCTGGATTCAGACTAGTGTTTGTATCAATAGGTGTGAGGTTTCAGCTCAGGCTCCAAACTGTACTTCTCCTCACAGGCCCTGCTCTCCCCACCCCTGCAAAGCTGAGACCCACACCTGCCAGGAAATCACATGTCCTGGCTTCAGAGATTCAAGACCCTTTTGTCCCCTCTCTCACCAGGAATTTGAGATTGAGCTGGAAGGCTCTCAATCCCTGAGAATCCTGTGTTATGAGAAGTGCTATGACAAGACCAAGGTCAACAAGGACAACAATGAGATCGTGGATAAGATCATGGGCAAAGGGCAGATCCAGGTGAGGATCCAGGGCACCAGGGCAAGGCATGGGGAGCTGCTAGACAGTGTGATACGGTTGAGAAGTGTCTTTCTCATGTGTCATCTTGGTCAAGGTGTTTGACCTTTTATGACGTTAGTTCCAAGCTGGTTTGAGAAAAGTTCCCCAAAGTGATGGTTCATCCACACTGGAGATGGCTTCTTACTGTAACCCCAGCAGCCCACAGGGGCCTGGTTCCGCAGGCTTCTACACCTGGCTCAGGCAGATCAGCTACCCTTGTTTTCACTTCACTTTCATCTTTTGGTGGATTTTTCCTGAAACACTGTGTTGAAAAGGATCCTGAAGCCATGTCATGAGCAGGAAGGGAGAGCACTGTGTTGGATGAGCAGTGTCTGCCATGGACAAGCGATCGGAGGAAGACATATGTCCCTAGCATTTGCTGTTCTATCACAGGGCTTGGGTTCCAGCTGGATTGCTGGGTGCTGGTCTCGGACTTGTTGCTAGGTTTGCTGGACTGGCCTCACCTGTGTTGGAATCACTGTTTCAGGGGGGTCCTCTGGATATCGGTAGAGATAGATCCTCAGTCAAGCTAAGAGTGCCTGTCTCAGCTTTGTTTCTTGGTGTCCTGTAAATGTATGCAAAGAAAACGGTCTTGTTTTTAGCTGGCATCTTTGGAACATTCTGCCAGTTTTGAAGATGGCTGCTATCTATTTACCTCTTTAGAGAACCAGGCTTTGAGGCAGGGAGTACCATGCAGCATGGAGCTATCCATACTCCTGCCTGATACCTTGTGTAGCCCCATGCTTAGTATACAAGTAGGAGTAGTCTATGACCATGAAATCAAGGGAAACAATGACAGGGACATACTTGGTTTGGGGCGTGAGCATTGTATGTGCCAAGCTTCTTGACCATTGCCCCTGACATAGGCTGTGGCAGTCCCAGCTATAGCTGGATGATATGTTTTTGCCGGAACTGTTTGCTTTGTGATGCATGTGGAAGCTGACTTGACTGGGTGTCTTTGGTGGCAATCAGACCCATGTGGGTCTCCCCCCAACCCCCGGCTGCAGTGTCTGAACAGAGGAGTGGCACAATTTGGTAGAGGCCCATCCATCTGCCTTGTGTCACCCATATTCCTGAGCATATCCCTTCCTGAGGCTGTGGGACCTGTACGCTGCTCCTTGGCACTGTCGCCAGGGAGACAGTGCTGCTAGGCAACCATATACCAGTCCTTCGTTATTTAGGAAATGGGGGTGACAAGAGAAAACTCTCTAAATCCACTCTCCGGAACCTGCTCTCTGCAGGGATAAATGGTGAAAGCCCTTTCTCCATGTCTCTGGGCTGGCCCAGAGGGACAGGCAGGGACAAGGTTCTAGGCTGAGGACACCTGCCCAGCCAAGAGACATGAGCAGCAGCCACACTCCCTGGGCCACTGGTGGGTGTAGAATGGAAGAATGAAAAAGGATGTCCAGGGAAGCCAGTTCAGTGGACACCATGGCCCATGACTCCCCCCAGAACTCAGATTCCAGGACCAGAAGGCTGCATTCTTCCACCTGGACTTCAGGTGTCACTTCCCTCCCCTCACTCAGCAGCACAGGCCCACAGGGGAAACACGCCATAAATCATCACATCTTGGAGACAGGAGCAGATGGAGGCGGAGGGGGAAAGGAGGCAGCCAGGTTATGTTTGGCAGAGCAGAAAGCACAGTCTGCTAAGGAAAATGTTTCTGTGTTTAAGCTTCGAGGAATGTTAAATGCCTGAGAGTTGATATTAAAAGAAACACAAACCTTCCTGCTGCCAGCTGACCTGGGCCAGTGAGCGGGCAGTTTAGAGCTGGAGGCCTCTGGAGGCCTTTGAAGTCCCTCAGCACTCAGGTCCCTGAGCACAGCCCTTGGCCCCCAGCCACAGAGCTATTTCAACCGGCCTCCTATGGATCAGGGTTGTGCCATGGCTCATAAAGTCTTGCCCCGTGGCTGCCCTCAGAGCCACCAAGGATGGCCAAGCTGGATGGCGTCTGCACCAAGCCATTTCCACATGGCCAGGCCCCACGAAGCCATGGAACAGCCTGTTCTCATAGCTCGTCCCCACCTCCCTCCCTGCCACGTATCTAAGGAAAGGAACTGACACCAGCCTTGGAGCTCAGGCCTGTCCCCTTCAGCAGCTCTGAGGATGGAGCCAAAGATGGCTTCCTGGTAGGCCCAGGACCCTGGGGATGCTCTGGTGAGTAGAAGGAAAGGTTGGAAGAAGGCCACTCTGTTGCCCCCCTTCTCTCTAGGTTCACTCCACCTCCATCCAACCAGAGAGCAGTCAGGGGTCTTATTGCCTGAAGTCCAGGCATTTGCTTCTGTGATGAGTCACCCAGATATGGCAGTGGAGGCAGGGACTCTGGAGCAGGAGGATGGGGTGGGGCAGCATTTAATGACAGATAAATGGCAGTGCAAATCACCAACATATGTGTCCAGAATTTGTGTTCTTGGGAGCCTGTTTCCAAATACTGTCTTGTAGCTGGGTGCCTGTGGCTCACACCTGTAATCCAAATAGTTCACAAGACCCTATGTCGACAGATCCCTTCACAAAAAAAGGCTGGTGGAGTGGCTCAAGGTGTAGGCCCTGAGTTCAAATCCCAGTACTGCAAAAAACAAACAAAAAACCAAATACTGTCTCATGTGATCATGTAATAGTTCTGCAAGGCACATGACCATTCTGTCCTCCCCAGCTCACAGGTGAGGGCACAAAGGCACTGAGGCTAAGAACCTTGGCCAAGGACCCCTGCTGGAGTGTGCAGGGAAGGCCACGCTCTCTTCTCTGTGCCATGTTCCCATGTCTCAGGCCTTCATCAAGAAGCCTCCCCACCTGGGGGAAAGGCCCTGGTATGGCTAGTGGGCTGGACAAGGAGCTGCCCCAGTATTCTGCTTTCTGACATAAAATGAACCTATGGCTGCCTTTGCTGGAGCATTGTCACCTCTAGGCAGGGCATGTTTCTGCCAGGTGTACCTGGAAGGAAGTAGACTGCATGGGAAAGAGCAGGGGGAGGGTGTGTGACCCAGAAGTAACCCAGTGTCACCTGGCCTTGAGTATCCTGCTGTCAGATTGGAAGGACAAGCATCCTAATACATCATACACCACTATGCTGAATGCTTCCCATCTGTGACCTCAGGGATCCTCACAGTAGCCTGAGGGCAGTAATGCTGTCATAGCGTAGGCTGAGAAAGCTGAGGAACCCAGGGCTTCAGCAATCTGTCCAAGACCAGAGGAAGAGCCAGGACATGACCCATAATGGGCTGCTGACTCCAGGGCCCTTTGCAAGGTACTCTACTGCCTTCCACTGCTCCATGAGGAATGGTGTCAGGGGGCCTGGGGGAGGTAGGGGGAGTCCTGTGCCTCTGGGCACACAGAGAGGGAACGGCTATGGAGGGCTGGAGGTAGGAAGCTTCAAGGAAGAAGTGGGGCCACAGGGATTGGAGTGCACTGGATCTTTTAATTCCAAATGCAGTGTTTGTTTTAGAAACAAAATTGCAACCATAGTAAAGACACTTGAAACAATCCCACAGCATCCCACTCCCACCCATCTGGAGCAGCTACGCTATACTGTGCCTTTTCTCTCCCTTGGATATATATTTTTTAATTTTAATAGAGGTTCAATCACATTGCATTTTGGTTTTTTTTCTGTTTTCATGGGATATTATCTTAAATTCCATCTTTAGCTGCATGTAGTCTTTAGATACTCCTCTTTTGATACATTGTCAAAAGTACTTTATATCAACCATTTTTTATACTGATTGACACAATAATTGCCCTCTTAAGGCTCTGTGTTATGTCTAATGAGGTGGGCAGGCACTGGATCAGCAGAGGAGTGGGGTGGGCATTCCCAGGGAGGGACCCACATGGCAAAGGCAGGGAGGCAGGAATGTGCAGGGGGCGGGGTGGGGGGTGGGAGGGGAGCTGAAGTTCAGGAGCCCAGCTGGCCCTAAGTGGAAGAGACAGGGGAGCCCTGCAAGTGGGAGGGAGGGTGAAAAGAAGAGAATCTGTAGGGTTTGAGGCTAGCAGGAATCTAATCCAAGCCTCCTCCATAGGGAGGAGAAAACCAAGACCAGAAAGGGTGAGTGACATGCCCACAGTCGCACATCTGGTTAGTGGTTGAGCAAAGGCTCCAAATTCAGGGACTCCCATCCAAATTTGGTCATGCCTGGTCAGCTGGGTGAACGAAAATGCTTATAGGTGGGATGGAGAAAGCCTTAGATGTCAGCCTATTACTCTCAGGGATCTGTCCTTTGTCACTGAAAGATCCCACCAGCTTGGTCCAACTCTTCTCTTCTACTCTTAGGAGTCTTCCGTTTCTTTCCAGACCACAGGACTGCTCTACTGACCACTTCTTTTCTGCACTACCTCCAGCCCAGCCAGGCCAGGGTAACAGCTTAAATGGGAGGCCCCTGGTTTGGTTTTTTTTTTTTTTTTTTTTGAGTCTGCTTTGGCTCCCTGCTCCCGAGGGACTCCTGTGTGTTTATCCTAGTCTATTTCCAGCCCTCTGCTCTAGGCTCCAGATGTGCCATCCCCAACTGGGACCTACCCGCTAGCTAATTAGCATATTCCCAGGATCCAGCCCTTCTTGGCTGCAGAGGTCTCCTTCTGAGCCCACTGCTCAGTTCCTGCCCCTTGAGACTGGAGCTGCCTAAGCCAGAGGAGCCCCTCCGTGCCCCTCATCCCCTAGCTCAGCCACAAGCCTGGGGACTGCTCCCCTGACATGGCAAGCATCTTCACTTTCCCGTAGCTTGCCTGGGCACCCCTTCCTAGGCACAGGAGTTTGTTGCATCCTGGGTTGGGGAGGGACAGAGGTCCAGGCCAAAGCTGGAGCCTATGTCTGAAGGGGAAAGGAAATATGGGGGTGGAGGAGATTTCTTTGACATTATTGATAAGGTCACTCGTAGGCTTGTGAGAGATGATACTTGGGAGGAGGTCATGAAGGCTACATCCCTGCCTTCAGGACTGGGAATGTCTCCAGGCCCCCGATTGGCAAATATCACCAT